CCACATTTTCAGACAGCATTATGCCTAGCTCACTGACACCCAACCTTTTGCTTTATAGTGAAACAATGCCCACTCATTACCTCTTACAATGCAAATGTTAACATTGGAAGAGTTAATGCATGTGCATTTAGATTTACTTTCCAGTTGTTTAATCAACCGATTTGCCAATCGGCCCAGGGGCTGAAAGTTGGGGGGCCAATTGCCCCTTCCCTACTTTACACCTTCTACTTTCATTGCCCATGCTCGGACCAGATCCCTTCATACCTTCATTTTGATCTCAACTACACACCTGAAGTTTTGTGATGGCATCTTGCATGGTTGTGACGCTATCTGGTAAACAAATTCTGTCAATGAGTCGGAACCTCCCATTGTCTCTCGCTCCCCACCAGTCTCCTACTCTCTCTTTAAAATAATCAGTTAAAGGCCGCTTCCTTTTTGGAACACGGTCACAGCTAAATGGATTGCTTCAGGAAGTTCCTCGCCGCTCTCTCCGGTTATGTTTAAGGTTTCTTCCTATTAAAAGGGGAGTTTTTCCTTGCCACCGTTGCCATATTGAAGAGTACGGTCTCTAGACCTACTCTATATGACATTATGACTATATCACATTTCTACACTGTAGGCACAGCTACGGGAGCAATTTTTTGGGGTTAAGTGTTTTGCTCAAGGACACATCGACATGCGACTAGCAGAGCTGGAGCCGGGGATCGAACCGCCGATCCTCTGATTGAAGGACGGCCCTCCTCTCCACTTAGCCACAGTCACTCCACACTAATCGCAAAGAAACCCAGTGGAAACAGCAGTTAGTCAGAGAGAAGGCAACTGCTTATAGGAGGGGAGAAAGACGTTGCGAGTGTGCTCTTACAGTAAAACCAGTTCAAACTGGTTCAAAAGCTTCTGTTGTGCAACATAATATAAATTACAGTTCATCTAACAACTTGTGTTGAAGTTGCAAATGTACCTGGAGCAGAATGAGCCGTTTATTGTGTGGTGAGCAGCTGTCCATATGAGGCAGACAGATGTGGTTTATCAAAAGAAATATAAACCGTAATGTTCAAAAGATAATGAAATAATTAGATCATGCACCGAGTAGATTGGCAAGATGTTTTACAAGAGATGCAAGAAGTCCTGCAGATTGTTACAACGATAATGACTCAGAAAGATAATTAAATTGCGTTTTGAAGTTCTCAAATTTTAATTGCTGGAGGCATCTCCTAGCAAAAGTCAATTATCTTAAAATAACATTTGCATAAATTCTTGAGAATACAGTTTGTTTTCATAAAAACTTTAGTCTCACCAGCCATTACATATGATTAGCATGATCACTGGGCCAATAACGAAAGTTGGGGTTCTATCTGAAATGTGTCTGCCATGTTCTATTTAATCTATTTGGTTGGTTCTGTTCAATTTGTTTGTAATTTTGCATTGTTTTCCCATCAGTGTGATTAATTAGCTGTGGGAGAACAGGAAGCTGGTTCGCTCAGTGAGCGGCTGGTGTGCTGGCAGTGTTGGGGGAGTAGTTTCACTACATGTAATTAAACTAGTAAATTTGAATTTCATTTTACAGTCCTCTGGTGGCGTTTCAGCTAAATTCAAATTTAAATTGTGGTAATATATTTCATCTTTGCTGGCACTGAATTCATTGATAACCACTATCACATACAGTTTCCACCCATACAATTAAGTACTGATTTATTCAGCTGATTTTTTTCGCCATGTATCTTATATATTAGAGCATACAGAGAAAATTGATGCTTGAGGGATTCTGTGGGTATTGGGTAATGGATGCTGATGAAGACAGGGAGACCCTTAAACCAATCAAGGATGTTTTAGATGATCGGTATGAGCAGAATCAATACAGTGTTGTTTGTGAAACACACGTCATTTATAACCTGGTCAGTCAAAACGCTGCAAAAAGGTCACCAGGCTAATCTCATGATACATACACGAAAGATAGAAGATGATTTGAAACCATCTTTTTCAAAAATCTGAGTAAAAGAAAAGCTTGGAGACGGGTCTGTCGATGCTCAAATGTAATGCATCTATGCTCGTGAAAAGGGTTTGAACTACAGTTTTGTGAGTATGTGGTAAAAAACAATAGCACAACATGACTCAAAACCTATTTCAGGAAATTGTAGGGACAATATCAAGACGGAAAAGCAGATTTTATATGCAATTCAATCTGTGGCAAAGGATATTAGACATTGTCATTTCTGCAACTATTGCCAGTAACCCTGAGATGCATACGTCATTGGAATCTACGCTCGTCCATAGGCGAGTAAAAACGTATGTATTAAAAGAAATCTGTGCTTTGCTACTTATCAACAACTACAGTAATGTAGCAATGTTAGAGACTAGTGTCACTTTATAATAGCATATACTCTTTCACATAATGTTATCACGGTATGAATAGAAAACAGCTATCAATTCAATGATACCATGTTCTCTGAGGTAAAAAAAAAAATAGCTAACACAATAACTTGCCGTGTATGCAGGTGAGTAGTGATGTGAATAGAGTGACCCCTATTCATTTCCATGCATGCAAATCATTTTAGACTCATAGAAAACATTGGTAATAATCCGATACAAAAACACAAGTTTTCTTAAAACGTAAAAAAGTCAATGAAAAACTGAATTGAGAAAGGAATAAATATATATTTTATTTTTTATAAATATATATAGGGTGTGCTGTAAGAGAGAAGCGAGCCCACTCAATGGTAGAGCGAGAGTAGTCGGCTTATTGTTACTCCTGAGGACGCCCCACCGATGAGCCGCTCATTGAGCTGCACAGTAAAAAGGGCTGACAACTATCTCCAGTATAATTGGATAAATCGATCAATAGCAAATTACAACATTCATAATTGATCCCTGAAAAAATGCAGTATAGATCATCGCGGCATTCAATAGCCATACCACAATATTCATGTTACACTGAGCATATTCAGGAACTAATTAAATCTCAAAGGAGAGGATCGATGTCTGAAGTAGCATGACAGAACTATCGATCGTACCACCACCATCTCTTTTACCTGCGACTCAAACTGCATGATATTATACAAGTATTTGTTTTTGATAAATTTGTTTCATCATCCCCAGAAAATAATGTTCAGATAGCAGATAGAGACCACAGCAGCAGGAATAAAAAGGTAAATCAAAATAATTCTAGGAGACACGAGTCTGTATTTCTAGTGCCGATGTGTTTATGTGCTATCAGGTTATTCTCGTATCAGTGCTTTTACAGCCTGCCTGTACAAGCTGTGAAAACAAATTTGCCCTTGGGGGGGGGGGGAAATAAAATATCTGTTATATATCTATTGCATCCTTACAATGACTTGTCGCATAACTTGCATTAACTATGATTGCATATGACTATGTTTAGGTGTTGGACAGGTATTGACTGAAGCGCTGAGGCTTTTCAAAAGCCTTCGCAGCACTTACAAAAGGGAGGGTGGCTGTCAGATGAGAGTTCACTTGGCGAATCAATACCAAGGACAGCAGGATAAATGCTAATGTCTGGATGGAAGAACATTTTCTTTCCGAAACACAGTCGTCGTGAGGCTGTGTTTCTGGTTCCACTTCCTCTTATCATGATAAAATGTTCAGATTACCCACTAAAGAGGGCAGTTACGGCGATTTGGCTTGGTTTTTAGCAACATTTGTTCTTCAAATTTAAAAGCTTTTTATAAAGTAAAACATACACTCAAAGGCCAAATATAAGTCATTTTTAGTTTGGTTCTATTTTAGAGAGGTGTTTCTCTTAAAAGCTACTTCGATGGCTGTAGTTATGAACTGTTAAATTATGTTTGTAATATTATTATGCCAAACTCCTTTATACAAATGACGATGGATTCAACAGCACCACAAACTTCAACCTCCAAAATGGCCATGAAGTTGAACCAACACCTCGCTAAAGCATTACATTTATTTTACGGTAGTATTTGACTGCATCAGGTTTGCTTAGCTGTATCTAATAAACTGGCAACTGAGTATATAGTCTAGTAAAAAAAAAAAAAAGTCAGATTCAGGCCAAAACTTAATTTTTTGACCCCCTTGCATGGTGGTGGCAGAAAAATTACTAAAAAGCACCAAGTTTCATCTCCCACAATGGAGAAAAGGTTTGAACCCATTTATAGCTGAAATATTGCTTGGGTCATTCCCGTCTATTCTCCTCTCCGCTGCTGACCTTTTTCTACTGTCCACGTCTCAGCGCAGGTGGAGAGTATTTTTGGCCACACTCCATCTCTTCCCAAATGAGGCCAACCGAGGAAGTGAGTCAATGTGTTTTTCCCCTAGTCATAGGAAACAGCTGTCGCGCTGTCGGCTGGTACAGAGCTGGGCTGACTTAATGCCAGACCCGGCGAGGAGAGTCAGCGTGGAGGAGAGAGCCCCCTCCCTCCCCCTCTGCATCCGCTTGTACTAAACCCATCACCTGAGTGAATTCCACTTGCCATGCCTCCCAGCCACACTGAAAAGCACAGGGATATAAACAAAGAACCGCCTATGCTCCAGCAGGGTACCTTCCTGGCACCGTCGCAATATTTCACAATATCAGCTCTAATTAACAGCATCACTTTTATATACCCTTGGATTATTTTTACTTCCTTTAATGCAAAATGTTGAAGGTTACGGTTGCAGGTGAATGATCCGATATGATGAAATGGTTTCGAGTCCATCTGTTCATATAAATGCAGACAGGAGTGGTGGTTGGTAATGAAGTAATATCATGGAGAGAATGAAATGCTTCAAAAAAGAGAGAAGTTGAATGGGGGGGGTCCCGTGCAAACCTTTAGCATGTTTCATAAGCAGGACCTGACCTTATCTCCCACAGATACCGCCAGCACGCATAATAGGAGAGGGCCCTTTGAGCCAAATGCTGCGGGGCAGAGCGAGTACCTCTCTCCTGGAGCAGACCACCCCCTCTTTTCCACTTTCAAGCCGCAGCTATACAAACAAATATATAGACACTCGGGGATGCAGGAAAGCACACACGGAAAGACACTCACCTCCCCTGTGTTCAACACCTCCTTCATGTTGCTCTTTGCCGTTTTCCCCCCAGAAGATGCCTTTCAGGAGTCAGGAGGTGATGTCTGAGATTGTATCCAGGCTTACATCCTCTAGGAGAAACAATAAGGGTTTTTATTTTACCAAGAAGCAATAAAAGATAACAGTGAAATCTCTCCGTCAATCATGGAAATGTATGCATGTCTCCAAACCTACTTTAATTGCTTTAATTAAAGAAAGGGAGCGTGTGCGTGCATGTGTGTGTGTGTATACATGGGCCTGCTCTGTATGTACAGTAGGTGTGTGTGTGCAGAATACAGCATCTGTGCAAAGCTTGGAGACTAGCGGAGGCTACTTGCTCCATATTCATGCGTTTTCCCCATATATGACCCTCCACTGTAAACAAAGCATATTAAACATGGATACTCGGTGGCGGCCTAATGAACACGTGCACGAATTACTCAGTGTAATAAAATCGATAGAACTTCCTCTTTCATCAAATATTTATTGAAGTAATATTCCTGAGCCCTTCAAACTCAAACAACTGCGCCGTGTGGTGTTTAACAGCAGACCGGTGCAGCCTCAGAGCCGGGCTGAACACAGCAACTCATCACAATATCACATTATAAATCCTGGACTTAATGAAATGTATTAAGTCCATCGATCATCCCAGGGCAAGGTGGATCAAATCACTACAACACTAATATTCAGAGGGAGCACCGTTTCCTTTAAATGTTAGATATTGCAATATCAGTGAGATATACATTATAGCCGTCTGTTTTAAAATCCTGTTTCCCTTGATATGGATAGCCCATTGAGTGCCATCATCTTTTACAATGAACGATCGCTCAATGTCATTAATGTGTAGAGAGCCACCTTGTGACTATTGGGTACTGGAGTCTGGGGCGCCAGCAGAGTGTGAGAGTGGGATAAACCACAGCAGTGGCTAAAAAGATCGCTGTAACAGAAAAGCCTGCTGTCCCCCTGAGACCCTTCGTCTCGGTTTTTCTGGAGCTGAAGCAAACCAGCCGACAGGTTCCGATAGCTGCCTGGAAACCTCTGGAAAAAAAATGATGGACCACAGCTGTCTCTGACTCCACACACGCTCCACCACCACCACCACGACCCATCTGCTACCTGGGACAGACCCTGCATTTCAAAGCCCTCCACCTTGCTTTCAGGTCGTCCCCGCAAAGGCCAGCAAATAGCTTCTCGTTAACGGATGTCAGAGAGCCTCACGAGATATACCACGAGAAGTGAAACTCGGCCGTCTGTGACTGCCTACCTGCATCTAATTTGGTGAACTTAATATGGCTTTTATTATGTCGTTAAAACCATTTTGCATGTAAGCAAACTGCAGTGGTACCCCCTTGCCCCATCTCAGCTTGGGGACAAATAGCTATTGGGCTCCCTCTATTGGCCTTTATGCATTTATCTGCATTCTGTCCGGCAGCAGGTTCAAAGGGTAAAAGGGCCAGTGACTGGATTTTTAGGTCTATGTCCCAGACTTTCTATGAAGCAATATGTAGCAGCCACAGTATCTGACTTATATGTAACAAAGACAGTTTGTTTTAAATAAGTGAGTTCACGCCAGAAGATTATGGATGACATTGACAATTATTTTCATTAACTGTATTAATTGATATATTGCTATGAAATGTCAGCTAATACAAAAACATAGCCGAAAGTGACTTCTTCAAATGTCTTGTGTTGTCCGAATAACAGTCCAGAACCCAAAGATATTCAATCTACATATAAGAAAAGAGACGAGCAGCGAATCTTCACGCTTGAGGAGCTGGAACCAGAAGATGCATTGCTTCAGAGACGTTATTATCCTCCTGTCAGTGGATTATACAATCAAGCCAAAACGCTGTCACATTATAGGCTTCATATAAATGGCCTTTTTTTCCCCCAGTGTAATAATGAAAATGTAAGGACATGCAGGGTACAACCCCTTTAATCTCATAAGCTATTGTTTGTTAGACACACGCTGGTCTTTGTGCTGACCAGGTAACACGCACACACACACACACACGCTCAGCTGATTAGCACTGTCGTACCACCTGAACTGATCGCTGCGTCCCGTTTTAATTAGATAACGCTATCCACGGCAATTTCCTGAGTAATTATTGCTGCCAAGGAGACAACTTCTGAACCATGTTCTCCCTGTGATGAATTATTCATAGATTAAAGCAGCAAAGCCCCAATCATCCATCAACATCCGGGGTAAATAGATAAACAAAATTATTAACACAAATCAGCCTTAAATCTTAAATGTAGTCCTTTAGTGTGCAGACACAGGATGCTTATTATGCTCGTTTCACAGTGGTTGTGGGGAAACTAATCTGGATTTAGCTCGGGCTCAAGGAGCTCGATTGATTTTCTGGTATAGTCCATGAATGGTAGAGAAGTGGCAGTATTGAATAAGCCTTTTATTGGATGTCACTTACAAAGTCTGTCATGGAAGAACTCGTTGCAGAAAGTTTACTTTGCTCTGGCAGCAGAATCTACCTTTCCAAGTAGGAAAGTGAAGCCAAGCCTTGAACCAATAATAAAGCTGTGCGAAGCAAGCTTGTGCTGCATGTCCATCTAAGTGATGCCCCACGAGAGACGCCTGATTATTTTCGTCAATTTTAGACCGTCTCCGGCCACATCGCTCCAAACTGCAAACACACTTTATAAAGCAACACCACTCAAGTGTGTCTCAAGCCGTCACTCCAAAACGACAAGATTATTTGCGCTCCCTGAAGACCCAAAAACTGAATTAAAGTGGCTTCTTTTAGACCTTGACACATAATCTATAAAGTCCAGATTATGAGTAGATTGAAATAGTCAGACTGACACCCACTCTTGTGACGGGTTACAGAGCCACTTTGCAAATTGACTGACCGAAAAAGTTGTTTCTTTCGCTCTCTCAAGCGTGCGAGACACCTGGAGGAACAAACTGATCCTGTGCGAGTGTATTCAGGGCAGTCGTGTTCATGTCGGGCCGGGAGATTAAACAACACCGGTGATAGAGTCTCTTATCCCAAACAAAGTGGTTTGGTGCTCTGTCAACAGCATGCTGGCTACTGGAGGAGCCACTGACATTTCAGATGAGACATATGTTAACCTCCAATATCCATCCTCTCAAATATTTATGATATATGTATGTGGTGGGAGCCAGAGGGAAGGGAAGCAGGCAGAGACTTCATACATAATTGGACTTGGAAAGGTTACATTTAGCATCAGCTGGATAGAGAAAGACAAGATAAATTTGGCTCCGAAATTGGCAGGGGCGCATTTGTAACCACGACCATGAAGACACCAACCACATTTATACTGATGCATGTTCATGCTCTCTCACACACTTGCACAACAGAATGACCAAATAGTTTCACATGTGGTTTATGACAGGAGTGTATGATTTCTGACCTGGAAAATGCAGCTTTCAAATGCTCAATGTTTTTTTACTGTAATTATCTAGATGTGGTCATTCTTAGACTAAATTATACCATGCAAAATGTTATTGCTGTGGCAATAAAGTAAGTTTACTTTATTCTAAGTATGAACAAACATAGAATAAAGACTAAAATACATATATAAAATGCTAAAATAATCTGTAAAAGTATTTCAAAAACTCCCCTGATATAAATACGGACGTGCCTGGACTATTTTCTAACGCAGCTGAGGTTTAATATCTCTAAGCTAATTATTTCACAATATTCGGAGGACTGGGAATTCACATGGGAACCTTTTGCTCAACTAGCCTCATTTATAAGCAGCAATGGTGCATGCCTCATTAATACTAAAAAAAGATGACTGCCTTCACTTTATTTGCAGGGTAGCTGCACACTTAACACAGAGATACTATAATGTATTTCATCATGGGAAACGTTGGTTCTTATTTTTTTTTTAAATGCTTCCTTTTATCCTCTGTGCTGCCATATTTGTTTGCTTGTTTATGGGTCAGATTATCAATCAAGCTGATCCAACAAGTTAGCAAAATTCTCTCTGGACACTGAAAGACGATAGGAAGAAATGTGGAGCAGCCCTTTATTTTTTTTATAGTCAGTAAATGACTATAAAAAAATAATAATAATTTAGGGATGCTAGAGGGACAGGCAAGCATCTCCAACACTTTCCTTTGTTTGACCTTTCCTGCCAGGATGAGGAGGGTTCTTTACAAGAAATGGAGAGGCGGGAGCTGATGGAGCGATGTCTTTAATGAGGTATGCTGGGGCTGTTGTCTCTCCATTTAATTAGACAATTATGCAGCCTCCTACGGAAGAGGGAGCATCCGGGGTCACAGGGG